AATACATGCTTACAGCCTGTAGTTTTAAAATTTATCATGAAGTTACTGGATATATAACATATTAAAATTCTTTGCCACCGGTACTTTAACATAATTTATAAGTGTGTTTCACTGTTGTTCATGAACAGACATAAATCCTCACCTCGTGAATCTCAGCCCCAATTTGCTTCTCGTATGTAACACCTATTGTATCTTCTACATATCCAAACTGCTGGGCCACTTGTGAAATCAGGTCCCTTACGGTGGTCGAGGCTGGTAAATTAATGTTGTGGCGTACCCCATGACACTGGGTGTCAATCATATCACGCACAATACACAATATTTTCTCTTCATCTGCCACGCAGACATTCTATAGATAAAAATATAGTACATATATAGATATATTGCATACATGAACCATGTGTGGAGACCACCATTCTTCATTATCACTAAACAGATATAAAAGGAATATGGTTTATGACATTCCCTTAAAGTTTTCTTCTTCTTCATTCATTTGCTTTATTACAAGGCTGATGAATCAGTCTAATTACTTGGGTCAGCTTTAAAAAAAAAATTGTTCGATGTACTCTGACCCAATTTTTTTCAATGTGGTTAGGTACATAGTTTTTTTGTTTTGTTTTTTTTTAATCATCTCACATATTGATGATAAAAATCAGATTCTAAGTTTAGTTATATTTCCATTCACATTATACATGTATCTGAAAAAACATGTTGCCCATGAACCCAGTCATAAATTATGTATAATGTTTATGCAAGAATTATTTTTTTTTTTTGGCTATTTGAGGGATTTCAAAATCCTGCTAAATGGGTGTTTTTGCTTTAGCTCAATGAAATTATGTCCAATCGTTTCAACAGAAAATATTAATCCTTGTCTTATACTTAAAAATTTATACTTTAGGAAAAAAAAATAATTATAATACAATTCTGGAAAAAGAAAGGGTTGGTCAGAAGGGTTTTTTTTGCTAATATGGATATTGCTCATGTTACAGTATAATATATAATGTATCTTTACACAAAATAAAGTTTTCAGTTTAAAGGATTCATTTTTGCTTCCATCATCGCCTTAATGCCATGAAACATAAAAGGGTCAAACATCCCTGGACTGAGATAGTCAGGTGTGCATTGGGCCATCCTTAAAAAATTGTTTTTTTTGCGGTAACGCACCTCATCATTTTAGATGTGAGTAGGTAGGTAGGCTTCTTTTTTTTTTTTTTTGGACAAATATCAAAAAATATTTCGATTATATAAAAGTATTAACTATACCTTAGCTTTCACCTCACTAATCAAACACTAAAATTGAAGCATTTCAAATGAAGAATTAAAACTTTTATTGCTCATATATCAGAACACATCAGATCAGTTCTTTTTAGGCAAACGGCAAATGTAGAACATTATACCACGTATCTGTAAGGCGAAACTGACGCACAATATTTTGGACCAGTATTTTCGATGTTTTTCCTTTCAAATTCACTGTAACTGACAGAAGTAAAGAGTCCATGTTTCCCGCGACCTTCTCGGACGCCATCTTTGATTGTGTAGATCACGAAGACGTTTTAGTTGTATCTGGGGGAAAGATAAGTGTCAGTGTAATCGAGACGTAAAAAATATCAATCGGATAAAAACAGAAAATGGATACGTAAAAAAAAAAAAATTTTGGAATCGGTAAAAAAAAAATCCAGTCGGGTGGATTTTTATGAGTCGGTCGCGTTACCGCAAAAAAACAATTTTTTAAGGATGGCCTTGGTAACATCTATATGGGACTGTCTTGCAGCATAAAACAAACTCAAAAGTCATATTTCATGATAAACATCATTAATGTTTATAAAAGGTGAATGCATGGTGAATTAGATGGGCTAATGCCTATTTCATATCTCAAGTAAAGCTACAATTGTTTTTTATATATATTTTTTTTTTTACTAAAAATTGCATCAACAGACTGATCAAACAGATTTGGATGAGAAAAAAATCCACCCGACAGTAATTTGAATGGGTCGATCAGGTTACAGGAAACAAACAAATTTTTTTTTAGGCCTTATCAAATATTTTAGATTTTTACTACTTCTTAGAGATAAACCCAATCTATTTTGAATATCTTAATGTACAAATTAAATTTCCACGTCAAATTTTACTAATAAATTGTCATCTAGCAATATCAAATTGTGAAATGCAAAATGAAAATGGAAGAAGGAAATTTTTTTTATCTACTAGAATCAATGGAAAATGATGATGAACATATGGCATATGTGAGGATATTACATATGGACAATGTGACACTTACCTTCCATATTTTGATTATGAACAATCAACATAATTTTAGTTCATAAAAAGCAAGATAAATGACATTTGTTTGAGGAGTTAAGAGTGCAGAACTGAGGAAACTCGAACTAACTTACCACATCCATCACGTTTTATAACCAAAACAAAAATTATGATTACAATCTGTTATTAACACTCCTTAATTCACCTTGAATACAAACTTTCATGAGATATCGATAGAAATATTCAACTGTTGTGCAATACAATCGACGTGAAAATCTATGACAAAATGTCAAGTGGCGGGGAGTATTTTCCGATGGTTTTCTTTCTATAGTAACACCATTATATCTTCCCAAAACATACCTCCGTTGGCACCATTTGTGTATTTTCTCCAGTGACCATCGTTAGAATGGCCCAAATATATTTTATGTCACAAAATTTGCTGTGTAATGCATGGTACTATAGTACTTTCTTTTTTGTCTATTACAATTATGGCTGAAGTCTCGCAGGATCTCACGCTATCTGCGAGAAATTCGTACGAGACTTCCTCTTCAACTTCCTCTTTCGTCACGCCGAGCAAAGAAAATGAGGTACATGAAAGTTGTAGTTAAAAAATCCAAGAACATCATGTTTACATCATCACTAAAAACTTTAATTTTGCATAATTTAGTGGCACATATCTTTTTGAAAGCAAATTATTGTAGAATTTACAACCGTGAGAAAAATGAATGTTCAATTTTTAGGTATGAAGAGGACACTTAGTTTCTTACATGATTGTTAAATTACAAAAATTGACGGAAAGGATTATAAAATTTTCTAATATTACTGTTGGGCAACTCTTAATGTTTGAGAGACAGAAGTTTCGGTCTTCAAGGGATTTGAATTTAGTTTTGGTCAGGAAATAGATGGAAAGGGAAAAGGGGGGATGTTCTGTTTTGGTCATCATTGAAGGGGGGATTGATTGCTATACAATATTTTGTTTTGATTTTGTTTAATTTGTTGTTTGTTTGTCGTGAATTTAAAAGTACTGTGCATTTAAAAAAAAAACATTTCGTAATGGTTGTGCAATAACTAGAATTACTAAAGCCTTTAGTTACTGTATAATTGTAGTAAGATAAACCGTGACAACTTGAACGATTCCATTGATGCCATCCTACAGGCTTCAAAAGACAAGCCAAGGAAGTTCACAGAATCGGTAGAACTCCAGATTGTTCTGAAGAACTATGATCCCCAAAAGGATAAACGTTTTGCAGGAACAATCAGGTATACATATAAACCATTGAAAATTGTTTCAACTTTTCCAGCTTTTTTCTGAAAATGAAAATACTTTTCAACTTTAGAATGCATCAGTCACTGCATTATTTGTTTTTCTTTGCAGCAGATTTGACATCTGAAAAAAAAAATCATGATCAGTGTAAACTTTTTTGACCCCCACCCAGGGTCTTGAAACAACTGGGTAGGCAGTTTCATTCTGCCGAAATATTGACTGTTTTTGAAGGGAAACAAGAAAGACCTTGACCCAGGGTCTTGAAATAACTGGGAAGATGGTGATTATCACTGTCGAAAATTGACTGATTTATAATGTGAAAAAAAAATGGTAATTTAAGTTTAAAGACGTTTATTAGGTTTCCTGAAAAATGTATAATTTTAGTATCTTCATTTGCAGTTGTTCTGTTTCCATCATCCTCTTTTGTGTGACTTTGATTATAGACTGAGGCATGTTCCCCGTCCCAAGCTGAAGGTCTGTATTCTTGGTGACCAGATTCACTGCGACCAAGCCAAGGCCAACAACTTGCCATGTATGACAGCTGATGACCTTAAGAAACTGAACAAGGACAAGAAGCTGATTAAAAAGCTGGGTATGGAATTAAATAATATTTTAAGTAATTTCTCGCAATAATTATTGAAATTCATTTATTTTGAGGAAGGAAAAGAGATTTGGAAATATGCCAAGGAAGAGAAATAAATATATATTGCATGGCTTATCTGAAGCTAGCAGTGATGAGACATTTATCAGAGGCATTCATAAAGTATAGAAAATAAAGAAAACTAAATATTCAGAAATTGGAGGATTTGGTAAACAATTTTTGCACTGGTATGGTAAGAATGAAAAGGTGAAGATAACAAACAGTTAACAAAAAGTTCACAAACAGGTCCATACTTGGAGCTTAAAGGGATTACTCTTGTTCTTTTGCTAGTGATTTAGGTTGTTCTCACAAATGAGAGAAAACCAGGTAAAGAAATATTCCAATCTCCTTTGCAGAGTTGTCGTTCATTCCTCTCTCAGACGCCTCTGCAATGGGCTCGCGTCAAGATTTTTGACATAACGTAAAAAAACATAATATTTCAAGGATTATTTCAAATTAAACTAATAATTTTAGATCTGTTTAGTAAATATCTGTCTTTAAGGACTATCATTAGCTCAGACACTTGATTATAATGAAATAAAACAAACGCACTATTTCTCATGCTTATCACTGTGATATACGTGAGCCAACGACAGAGGTGAATGTATGAGCCGATGGTAGAGAGTGGAAATATCCATCTCTGATGACTTTGCCACTTAACCCTCTCCCTTGGGCTTTGTTCTGAACTTTTTAAGGTAACAATTTCCCCACCCCTCCAGGTTGAGGTCTTAAAAAAATAGAAGAAGAAATCAGTTCAAAGATGTTAGAAACTGTATTATTTTTCAACACAGCTTTCTTAAGTGGTAATTTCATATCAATATTTGACGGTTCATATTTTGCCAATGAAGAATAACAGAAGTTGCATGTATTACCTGATACTTGCAGTGATGAAAATCATTTTTTAACAGAGGCATTATATATGTAAAGCCTTGATGTTCAATCTAAATATGGAAGTGGAATTTATTATATTTAGTGCATGCTGCCTGTTTCAGCAAAGAAATATGATGCTTTCCTGGCCTCCGACTCCCTGATTAAGCAGATTCCCAAGATCTGTGGACCAGGATTCAACAGGGCTGGTAAATTCCCCACCCAGGTCTCCCACCAGGAGTCCCTCGTACAGAAGGTGGAGGACACCAAAGCTACCATCAAATTCCAGCTTAAAAAGGTAAAACACAATTGTACAGGCCTCAAGACCATAAACTGAAAACAGACTTAAGTCAGAATTTTAAATGAATATAACTTCAGGAATAAATTTGATAATCTAATAAAATTTTCATCATTTGTTTGTATTAAGATAGTAAACAAACATGCAAATTTTGAAACGTGTGTAAAATAAAACTCGAGATACTGAGTATCAAAATTTTGACTTAAGTCTATTCTCAGTTTATGGTCTTGGGACCAGGTTATCAAACATTTTCCTTATTAAAAAGATGAGTGGGTCAGTGTTCGGCACAAAAAATTTTCAAGTCCTCAAACAGTTTTATTTATTACACACTATTAGTGAGAATGAACATTTGTGTATTTCAGGTATTGTGCTTGGCTACCTGTGTAGGACATGTAAACATGCCTAAGGATGAGCTGTATGCTAACATCACCTTGGCCATCAACTTCTTGGTGTCCCTACTGAAGAAGAACTGGCAGAATGTCCGAGCCCTCTACATCAAGGGAACCATGACACCATCACAGAGAATCTACTAAATACTGTACTCTGTCAATAAAGTGGGATTTCATGTCATCAATTTTTTGTGTTATTTGTTACTTACCATATTGAGAGAATATGCAGATGAAAAAAAGAAAGTTTCCTGTTTAAAACATTTTCAAAATTCATTGATGTCTAAATAAATGGTGTCAAACATCACCTTCCTGAATCATTTACAGTGACTTAGAACATGGCTGTCTTAATTCGGTAGCAAAGTTCAAATAGTGGGGGGGGGGTGCTAAATGTTATGATAATATCATTACTCTTCATATTTAAGGTGAAGGCTGACTAGGTTGACTTGGAACAGGACTCGTAAGTAGGAATGCGCCTTATTAGATTTGACTCTTACGAGATCAGCATCAGGGAATACCCTACGCAATCATTACACCTGAACTGCTTTTTTGTCATGGGTATCGGCGTGGAGTGGAGACACGTTCGTGCTGGTTATCTTGCATTGCCTTTTTTAGCTCACCTGAGCTGAAAGCTTAAATATAGTGAGCTTTTCTGATCACCCATTTTCAGTCTGAACTTTTCACATTTTCAGCTTCTTCGTAAAAACCACTGGGCCAATTTTAACATTGGTACAAAGCGTCCTTGGGTGAAGAGTTTAAATTGTTGAAATGAAGGGCCAAGTCCCCTTACAAGGGGAGATAATCAAGAAAAGACAAAAAATAGGGTGGGGTCATTAAAATATTTTCTCAAGAACCACTAGGCCAGGAAAACTGAAACTTAGGTGGAAGCATCTTGGGGATAGCGTAAATTCTAAATTATTCAAATCATGACCCCATGGGTAGGATGGGGCCACAGCAGGGAATCCAAGTTTTACATTGAAATATATACATAGGAAAATCTTCTCAAGAACCTCTGGACCAGAAAAGCTTTCAAATGAAAGGACAGTAAACAAAAACGCATCATTTGGACTTGGCAACGACAGGTAGCAGCTTTATTGTACAATGTACATGAATTATATGGATTCAAGCTCAAAAGTCCATTAAACAATACAAATCAGGAGCAGAGCAAACACGAACCTCTAAAGCATCAGGTGCTGTAACGCTGGGGTCTTGGGGTGGTTCAGTAGGAATGGAATGACTCCAAGTAAAGTTTACATCATTTATTGGGAAAATCAACGATAGAAACAGGCCCGTAGGAAGCAATTTCAGTTTGGGGGGGAGGGGGTACAGCCATACATTTTCAGTTGAGGGCCACTATCAACTACCAAAATTTCCTTGACAAGCAAAAAAAAACTTTAGACGTTTTTATTGAGGGGGAACAAGCATATAGTAGCTATGTTTTCTATAGTAATCTATATATCGGCAAAATTATTGGGGGTGGGGGGCACGACACCCCCCCCCCCCCGGTTCCTACGGCCATGAGAAATATACAGTTCAGTTGAGATTTTGACCCTGTAACATAGTAAAAACTTATGCAAGAAAGATAACTTATGTTCATGTTTCTAAATAAAATGAAAATACCAGTTAATTCCCTTTAGTAAACGAGAACTCGAAAATATTTGCATCTTTCAAAAATTAAATTATATCTGCTCATTATTTTAACAAAGTATTTTGTTATACCTATAAAAATTAGTTCCTATATAAATATATACTAAAAAATTCTAACATTCCTAATGTTTTACTGAGCGGTCATAAAAAAATCGATGTTTCACCGCAGAGTGAGATATTGGATCTGTGGACGAGATATTGGACCGGTTACGTCACACTGTGGACGGGATTATCTAAATCTTATTTGCATGCGTTAGTACGGAAGCTAGCAGCAAAAGAAAAATGTATTATTACAAAAATAAATAAAAGGTATAACAAAACATTTAATTATTGACTGCGTTCTCGGGCAAATGCGTTTCACGAAACAGCTATGAATTTAAAGAACGGGAAAGTGACAATAAAAAATCAATGATTTTAAATTCAATCCAACAAAATTCATTTAAATTATATCAAGATAAATCAATATTCTAACCACACTGGATAGATAAATTCAGAATATTGTACAATGAAATTTTTGGAAACAATCAAACGATAACCAAGGAAATACAAATATATCCATCCTTGGCAAATTTTGTACACCACCGTCCGCGTCTTTTGCAAATCCTGTCTGAAATTCACCATGTGACAGCAGATAAAGTTACTCAACCGGATCGTTGTATAATCTTTGATGTTATCAATGCACAAATCCTGTAAACGCCTCGATAATTGGTTTCTGTACGTGAGTCTTGAGGACAAGAAATGAATGTGACACAATTACGTAAACTATGTCTATTAACCAGGTCCAGCACAATACCCTGATAAAGGCATATAGCTTGATAAAGCTATATAGCTTTATCAAGGTATTACAAATACCTTGATCAAGGTATTTTATGTACTGAAAATACAAAAAAAAAAATCCTAAAAAAAATAAATACTGAAAGTCGAGTTCTGAGTTGTTGTCAGTAAAATCACTCATGCATGTAAAGTACTCAAACACAAAGAAATCAGTATAAAAGCATGTCGTGTGAGGAGACGTTCTTTTATGCTGTCTTTATGGTACCTGAGTACTTTTCATGCACGAGTGAACACACTGACCACAACTCCTAATTCGACTTTTAAATTTAATTTTTAAAGATTTTTTTTTTTGTATTTTCATTACATAAAATACCTTGAACAAAGTATTTGTAATACCTTGAAAAAGCTATATAGCTTTATCAAGCTATATACCTTTTATCAGGGTATTGTGCTGGACCTGTTAACCGATTTGGAAATAGCACAAAATACAAAGTCCTGTGAAGCACCTTGAATCCCAACTTATTTCCTTGCAAATGTGCCCCTTTAAAATTTTTCGTTATTTATTGGTGGACAGTGGAATGATGCTTGGATTTCATACAACTATGATGGTAACCGATTCATATCTGGAAGAACAAATTTGATATTAGAAAACCGGTAGATCTTTTAACTCTAACATTTTCTTTGAAAATATCATCACCAGCGGTTAGATAAACATCCATAATATCATTTAATGATAAAATCTATCAAAATTATTCAAAATCTGGCAACATGGCTCCAAATTATATATTTCGCTAATACACTTTTTTAAAAAATAAGGGAATAAAAATTTCAGTTGTGCATGGTAAATAATGCTAGAAATCATTAATCAGTATAATTGATATTTTCATGAAAACAAATTATTTATCCATACTATTCCTCTTTTACAAAACTACAACAGGTAGCTCTTAGTTTACTAAATACTTAGAGCTCTTTTTCTACTGAAATCACTCTTGCCAATTGGCAACACCACAAATATTGAATAATAAACACCCACATATTTATTTTTTATGATAACATATTAATCAAATTTCTTCAAAATCAGGTCTTTTGTCACAAACTATACCAGATACGAGTCAACTATACATGTGGAACTCTTCTATTGATTTCAATCTCGTCAGATGACGCCACCATAAAGTGTTTTAAACTTTCATCAAGTGATATGTGTTAATGTATTAAAATTATTCTGGTGAACAATAATAATCATAATTCAAAAGTAACTGCAAACATTCTAAACCTTTAATCCTCTTCTGCAAGATAGTATCAGTCCTGCGTTTATAACAGGTAAAACTCGTTTTCTTCTATAAAATCAACATGTCATCTTTACATAATTATACTGTATATAAAACTTGGCCAAAAAGTTTAGAATTCCATAAAAAGATACCAAACTTTGGTATCTTTTACATGTGATCAAATTTTCAGAAACACAAGGAATAAGATAAAATGGTGGCGCAATTTTCGCATACAACTGATTGTAAAAATCCAATATTTGGAATGTAATCCATGTACTTTTATATAGAATTACAGTCAAAAAACTAATATTATAATGACCCATTTAATGATAAGTGTAGGTCAAAAAATATTTTCAAAACATAGTATCTGAACTAAAGCTTCGCTTTTTTTTTTATTTTTTTTTTTTATTGTTGCATTGCTACAAATTATTGACACGCTACCGTTACCCAACAAAACTTTCCATGCGTATTACCCTACTATGTGGACTCTGAATTGAATCATCCACTTAAGAAATGTAAAACGAAATATTACATTCGATGCTCAGAATATGAAATGTTCCTCTTTTCTAATCTAAAAGGATAAAATTGTAATGAAGTCCACATTGACTTTTACTTTGGCACTAATCGCAAAGAAAAGAAGCATAATGATTGTACTTGTCTGGAGATCTTAAAG